GCAGAGGTAGCAGTGTTCAGATCCAACTGCACAGATAGATGCTACTAGTTTAAGTCATCCATGATTCCCTCCCAAAAGACCATATTATAGGTACAATACAGATACACTCTTTTCAGCTACTATAAAATGGCACAAGATAAAATGACTCACTGGGATCTCCTAATGAATTGTTCATTTTTAATCACAGCTCTCCAGGCACTGGTATGTATCAATAGAAAAATTCAAATGTTAAAAACAGTGTACAGTTTAGCACAGAAGGCAACATTTGAAGAGAAGCACATCATTTTAATTTGCTTTGAAGTTTAAAGCAATCCAAACAAAAAAGTTAACTATATAAATAGAGTAAATGCACATAGTTTACAGCCAACTACATGTATGCAAGAATAATAGCAAACCTCACATGAGCATCGAAGTATTCTCAAACTGTCATCTGTGAGTGTTTAGCTATGACTCTGAGGGCATAGTTATGTTCACATATGCAGGATAGGCAGACTCTTAAATAGAAGAACTGAAAAAAAAACATAACTCAGTCTTAACAAATAAAGTTGAAAAAAGTACATTTACCTAGGCACGCTTCAGCATTCTGCTTGTTTCCAAATTTGAACAGTTTAAACAGGAAGCAACACTTATAAAGGCTCTCCAATGTTTTGTCTCTGGAAGCATTCTTTTACAATGCTACAGTCTGAGGAATGTTACAGAGGTCATAAGAAAAACAGAATAACAAACTGTCATTAACAAACAAACAATCAGATGTCATTAACATCTCAATCAGCACGGGAATATTCGGAGTGCATTATGTAAACAGAACTAGATCGGTTCAGTGTTAATATACAAGTGGACAGGTAATATTTCAGTTACAATTAGAACAACCAAAAACTCCATAGCTCCCTCCTGCAAACCCACTTCAAACAACACAGAGGGGCAGCTCAGAAATCCAGACAGCAACGGATCTACCCATCAGGCGGCAAAAGGCAGAGTTCAGCCCCCCCCCACGCCAGACCGCACAGCTCAGCTGCTTCAGCACAGCCCTGCAGGAACAGCACGGGCAGGAGGGGCTCAGGAATGCGTGGGCATTCCCGGGAATCAGGAGGGGCTCAGGGATGCGTGGGCATTCCCAGGAATCCGTTTTCCACGGCTTTTCCTCGCCGTGCTGTGCTGCGCTGCCACCTGCGGGCCGCGCCGGGCAACTGCAGCCCCCGCACCCAACCAGCGGGGATGACACCGGGGTCTGACCCGGGCGAGGGGAAAGAATTAATTACCGAGTTTCAGACATTCCAGACCTTTGCCTCTAGCACAGACACGTGTGACACAAATACACGACACTCAGATACTCAAATCAAGGTGACCAAGTTACTGGAAGTTTAAATGCACTCCTTTCAGCTCTGTACTTAAAGGTATTGTTGAATGTAGCATCTTTTTATTCCCTTTCAGTTTTTGTAATAAATATGAAGAAAACTATATAAATAACGTACAGATCTTTGGGAAATATTTCAGAGGTAACTTTGCAGGTACTGGTAGTTTAAAAATAACAAAAAATCCCAAGAAATTTTGGGGTTGTGTTTGGTTATGTAAAGCAAGCCAAAAAGATCACCCCTGAAGTTTAAAACAAAGCTAGAACATCCATTAAAGAAGTGGAATAATAAACTGATTGTCTACTTTGAACAGCTGCCTCCCATACCCAATTGTCCTTGTTAACATGTCCATATTAACCCCAGGGGCTCCACCCTCCCCCAGAGAAGGCACACGCAGTACCCAGGGAATTCATGGGAGACAAACATGGAACCAAGGGACAATGTATCCAGAGGAGAGTAACTCCCATGCAGCCTCAGCTAATCCATGTTTATCACACTCAGGAATTTCAAAGCAGAATCTTAAGTTTTGGCTGTGACTAAAAAATTTGGATAGCATGGAGAGCGACCCATTTTCCACATAAAAGTTACAGTAAGTCACTATTCCTGAACAGTGGCACCACAGCAAGGCTTAGGTCAGTCATGAATGCTCCAGACTTTTCCTAGAGAGACCACTAGAGAAAGCCCACTTAAGAACACATCTAAGCACTCCTTTCATTTCTTTGGGACAATAAGTCCCTCCAGTCGAATCTCAGACCACGCTATGTCTTTAAAAGGTAATATTTTCCAAGAAGGGAAGTCAGTTTTGCATTGCAAGGTCGCTGCATATACTATGGGTGGCTTTTAGAGGATGAGCAATTAATACAGAGAATTACCCGAAACACTCAAAGACTTTGACATGGTGTGGAGAACGTGACAAGGGTCAAAATAAAGGAAAGCAAAAAAGAGAAAAACCCAGGCTAATTGTTCTGCAAGCTTTGAGCTTTTACATAGAGCCTACAGAACCACTGCAACAGAGATGCTATGGATCTACAGCATAAACTCCTGCACAGCTTACACAGAAATCAAACCACATGCTTTGCTTAAAACCCAACTGCATGTTTCAAACACGGTTTGGCTACAGATAATCAGTAAGAGGAAGAAAATTCATAAGCCCTAAGAAGGCCACAAAGTGCATAAGAAGTCATTCATAAAATAAAGCCATTGCACACAATGCACAGTTCAAGTGTACTGAAGTACCACACTGGAAGAGTTGATAGCACAGTTCTGTCCATGCCAGTGTAGCAGCATTTTTGAGTAGAAAGCTATTGCCCCCAGTTTATAATGATCATCTTCCTCTTAAGGATAATGGATGCAGACTGCAGAGATTATCTAGAAAGCTGTAAAAGTTCTTGTAATGTTAAACTTCTTAACACTCCAGTTGTATGGTTTTGGAAAACTCTGTAAATTATGACAATAAACCAGCTAAGCTCTCACTGCTGAATGCAAGGCATTGTTTTGCTATTGGCTTTCAGAATAAAAACAATGCCTGAATATTCAGACAGTGGAGAGGACAAGGGTACAGTTCAGGACACAGGCTCATACTGATAGACGTGACACAGCAATTATCGAGGGGAATGCTTTCAAGAAAATCTCAACTGCAATTTTCTCCATCCCTCTGCACAGAGCCTGTCTGCACTGAAAAGATCTATCAAAACTTGAAGTGGTTTCTGCTTTCTGGTCACCCTAGCCACAGTGATATGTGCTCTCCCTCAGTACTTCCATTAAAATACAGGTAATCCAGGTCAGGATTTGCCAGACATTTAAGGGTAACACAGCTTGTGCTTAGGCAGCATGAAACTATCTGAGTCAATCCTCTCTTCACAAACAGGAGGCTGGACTAGTTGAGATTTCTGATCACATTACAAATCCTTAAAAAGGCTATAAAGTAGCATTCACCAACTTCTTCCTTAGCTGTAAAAGTGACCTGAACAGGCTGGCAAGGAAAACTGATGATATAGGACAATGTTTCATAGGTCTCCCTAACTTAAGAAAAGTTCCAGAAAAGAAAAAGAATAATGCATCAGAACTTGAAATCCAAATACATCCAGTATTAACAGACTGATAACCTGAAGAGAGTTCAGTAATCAGATCCTCTCTTGCTAACCTACAACACTGCTCAAAATTTAAGGGGGATAAAAACCCAACCATAAGCAAACTAAAAAACTACAAAAAGTATCATCCTTTGTAGTGAAGAAATAACTCTGTTCTGGGTCCCTGAACCGTATTTTGTCTTGAGGTAGCAACATGGAAAACTTGACACACTGACTACTACCTCAGTCTCTTATGAATCTTCAGGTATAGAAATCTACAAAAGTACTGTCTTGGCCATTCTTCCAACAGGTTACTCTGAAGTAAAACAGAACAATCACTAAGAGAAGTGAATAAGGCTGCCCAAAAACATATCTTTCCCTCCCTCATCCATCAGGTCTCTGAAGATGACTCCATGGCTTTGTTTAGCTTAACTGATGAAAAGGAAGTAATAATTTTGAATTAAGAGATGTATGAAGGCATTCCCTAAGGGGCAGTTCCCATTTGTCACACCGCCAAGAGACCACACAGTAAGGCAGCAAAATTATTCATAGTTGCCCGCAATCAACCTTCTGTTTTCTCTACAGCTGCTTGTTCCTGATATAGCGTTCCTTTTGCCCACCACATTGGCATTGACATTCAGTGGTCCACTCCAGTCTTTCCATCTTCCACCTTCTTCCAGGAAGCCTCATCACACACTGCTATCCATCGAGCAGGTAGACTACAACTTCATAGGTTGACATCATGATAGCTGTGTTTGGGATCTGTCTGACCAGGTGCGTGGTTAAGCCTCGGTACAGGGACCCGTACCCTTCCTCCCGCACGAGCAGAGACAGTGTCTGGAAGAAAGATCTGTATTTTGTTCCCTCTTCTCTTAGTCTTGTTCGTACAACCTCTGTACAAAGAGAACCACATGGGGTTACGTTCACCACTTTGCATTATTTTTCCCAGAAACCAAGCAGTGATTTGCTACGTGAAAATGCCCCTCCTCAAGTTCTCAAATCTCAGAATCCCTCTTTAAAAAAAAAGGAGTAGCAAACCAAGTAGGTGTGAGAAGAAAACAAGTTACATTTTCAGCAGCATTAGATACCTGACTGAACAGGGCCAATTGATTTGCTTAGCTGCAGTCCAGAAAAGGACTGTTGTTTGGGCTTACAATTTAGCTCAGAAGTTGACAGAGGTTTAGTATTCAGTCCATTAACAAACTTCATGTATACACAACTACTTTGCAGGAAAAGCAACAATCAAATCTAGTTGAAACACAAACTAGACAGCCTGTTTTCCTAGAAGGGAGACAGGAACTTGCTGGAAAAGTATGGAAAACTGCTGAGTATATAGAAAGATTCCAATTGAAAAAAGATCTGCTTAAGTACTTTGGGCCACACCCTGCTAAACCTTTGGCAAAATAAACATTTCCTAAGTGAAGGCCATGCTAGATATTGACCTCAAAGCACTTCCATTTCTGAACACCCCACTCACGTTGACCTGCTGAATCTGATGTGAAAAGCTTTAGACAAAGAAATATTTCTTGAGCAAGTGAACCAAAGCAGGCTGCAAATATCACTGAAAAGACTCCCTCTGGTGGATCTGACTCAGGTTCTCAACTCTACCTGCCCCACTTACCATGGGGATATGCTATTGATGTTGCACAGGTTTTGGAAGTGGCAGCAGCCATCATCATTCCAACAAAGTCCGATGCTTCTTTTGCTGACTCATCCTCATTGTCCATGGGAGAAGCAGTCTTATACTCCAGCAGTTTTTTCTTAATACTCTCATAAATAACAAAATGAATGACAGTCTCAGATATGCCTGCATAGGATGCTGACATTCCTCTGTAAAAGCCTCTAACGCCATCTGAGCGATAAACTTTGCGGACACACTCGAAAGCACTCATTCGTTTTTCTCCACGATTCCTGAAAGGAGAAAACAAGTCAGATATCCACTGGTACAACTTGGGACTGGACAACAGTTAAACAGTTTTTCTTTGAGTGATGAAAAGACTTAGGAAATATCCAACACTGCTGCTGAGGAGCTCCAAGTCAGATATGGTCAAGAACACAGAACTTGAACGTCCCCAAGATCTTCAGCACTAAACACAGTTAAAGCATTACATGGAATCCAAGCCAAGCTTCATATGGTGACTAAAGAAAAACTATTTTTAGACAGGTTGAACAGCTCTCAGCCCCCACAACTCTGCAATAAAGGATTAAACTGCTTGAAAACAGACTCCCAAATGGGCTGTCAACGTCAGTGACTCATGAGAAAAATGACCATTTTCTTTTGCATAATGGATTTCCCCTAAGTGTCGCCTGAACTAAAGAGCTCCATAGCATGGTAATTACAGTGGATAAGAGTTTGAACAGCAGGCCCCACAGCATTACAGCTCTCAGCAAACAACTAGCATATCAACCAATGCAACGCTGGTAGCTGTTATTTGACTCAAGTAAGCCACTGCTGATGTCAAGGAAAATGCTTATTAGATGTGACTGTATCAAGCAGTATTTGGCAAATAAAATTTTATTCCCATTTTGAGCTTGCTTATTGAATTGACTTGTGCATATTGAAATACTGAGCATGTGTATTGGGTTTGTGTGGCCAGCAGGGGGGATACAAGGGTGGCTTCAGTGGGAAGCTGCCAGAAGCTTCCTGCATGTCCAGCAGAGCCAGTGCCAGCTGGCCCAGGATGGACCCATCACCGGCCAAGACCAGCAAATCAGGAATGATAGTAATGTCTCTGGGATAACATATTTAAGAAGCAAGAAAAGCCATAAAGCTCAGGAAGGAGGGAGCAGTGGCGTGAAGGTGTTTTTAAGATATATTTTACTTCTTGTGATCCTGCTCTCATTTTGTTCATAATAAATTCAATTAATATCCCCCAAGTCAAGTCTGTTTTACCTGTGACAGTATTCAGTGAGTGATCTCTTTCTCCTAGTCTTCATCTCAACTAATGAGCTGCTTTCCCAGTTCTCTGCAGTGTCCTCCACCTGGCTTACTCAAGATCCAACTTGCAGCTCCATGTGCTCAGTCTTTCTCTTAACTAAACCTTGCTTCATTGCATTTAACACCGCAGGTTCAACCCACCAGGACTTAAATTCAGCCATCCAGTGATGCCTCTTACTGCTTATTTAATAGCTGCTGCCAGGGTCTGTCTTGCTCTGACAGTGTCCATGAGTTACCATAACTTCTTACAAGGTTATTTGCTGGTTTATTCTGTGACTGTCTCACCCAGAACTCTACTGGCACCATCCATATGTTCCAAGTGCCTGCACTCAGGGCTGTGGGGAAGCACATCTTGTGCAGTGTTGTCATGGTTTTGTGTATCTGTGTACAGGGTGTGTGGTGGGTTGACCCTGGCTGGATGCCAGACACCCACCAAAGCTGCTCTGTCACTCCACGAGCGGACAGGGGAGAGAAAATATAACTTGTAGATAGATCAGCATGAACTTCTGAAATCTGAGATGTTGAAAGTTGAAAAACTAATTCTATTTTGGGCTGTGGAACATCACAACACTTTGGTATAACCTTATCCCAGCACTGTTATTTCCCACTGTCACCATACCTGGCATCAAGCTGCAATCGTGTCTTTACCAACCAAATGGGATTAGTTGTTGTGATCGCAGTGAAACCTAAAAAATGTAAAAAGAACAAAGTTAGATGTGATAATACCACAAGAACAACAACTGCATCTAAGTTAAAAATGCACACAGTAAGGAACAGTGGATGCAAAAACTCGGACTATACTGACTTGGCACAAGTACCCACTGTAGCCCTTTACTGACATTTTATGAATCCATACAGCCAATAAACACTTTGGTTGGTTTTATATTTTACATTAATATTGAGTATGTTTAAATCTTAGCAAGAAATGCCCCTTCTATAATAAGCCAGATTAAGTACATTTCTCTCCCTATCTAATACCAACCCTGTTTTGATACCACAGAGCAGCAATGCCAGCTAGACTAATATCACAGCCAATTTGGCAAAAATGTCAATAAGAATGCATTGCAGAGACAGCTACAGCAATTTGAGATGGCAGAAAACATTGTGTCAATTTATTTTGTTACCTGAAATACAATCCGAGTTTGAAAGCATGCAGACTGAATAAATACTACTTTTGGTGCAGTCAAAAGGCATATATTACTGTAAATTAAGAGACCTTTTAATACTCAGCTATAAAGAACAGTTAAATTTGAGTGCTAATCTTTTATTTAGTATTCAAAGCAGAGATTGTTGGCTGGTCTAGGAATACTTTTACAAGCATAGGAGTGTTTAAATTGTTAAAGTAAATACTATGACTTCTAATTCAGACAGCAACTATTAGGCTTGCATAAGGGCCAAGGGTTAAAGCTTTGATTTTCAGTCCACTAAAGAAAAAGAAAAAGGAAGAAAAAGAGAAAAGGAAACAAAATAAAGAAAAACAAAACAAAAAAAAAAGAAGTAAGAATCACTCTTACTTCTGCACAACTGTGGAGAGAGAGAGCAGAGTGAAAGGCAGCTCTGAAAAAAAAGTAAAATAAAACAAATCATCGAGTTGTAATACCACACATGCACCATTAATGAGGTGTCATGTCTGCAGGAGAGAACAGGAAAAGGGAAAAGCTGGAACATGGCCAGGCAAGAGATGATAAATTTAGACACTTGCTTTCTAGGTGACACACATGGCTGGTATATCACTACAGAGACAGGCTGCCCTCCTGCAGGGGGACGGACTGGGTTGTGGGAAAGCAGAGTTACCTTCCTCAGTGCACATCTGGTGCACCCAACTTCTCCAAGGAACAGGTTATTGATAAGCTGGTTCAGGGAGATCATTAGCAGCTTACAGAAATGTATTTAGCAGAACTGCTTGCATACATGTTACTCCTGGACAGTCACAATCTACTTGACATCGCACACAAAGGTTTGCAATACTCAGAAATGCCAGGGGATCTTAACTGTTTTGAGGTTTGTTCTGTTGCCACCCCCAAATCTTAAATACCTCATTAGGATTTTCAGTTACAGCTCTAAAGACAAATTAGGTTTGGCAACTGCTAGGATTCAGCTGATTTTCTACACATGGAGAATAAAAACACATGGGAGGCTTCTGTTTAATCTTCTGATTAAATGGATTTTTATAATGACTCAAACTTCTTAACCAAGTAACTTTCTGTAGTAGATAAAGGTTTGGAGTTGCTTTCTTTTTTTTTTTTTTTTTTTTAAATACGCTACTCTTTTTGTCTACGTCTTGGTACATTTATACCCTTCATATGATGGAGTGAAATCCTAAGGAGACAAGTTTTTTTATATCCCTACTTTTGGTAGGCAAATAATTATGCAAAAGCTCAAGGCACTGAGGAACTACTCTGCCATAACAAGGCACAGGATGTTCTTAAAACATCACATCTGCAAAATCAGCTCTGTAGATCAACTAGCCAGAGCCTGTCTGACCAGTCATTTAATGTCATAGAAACTGCACTGATTCCAACAGCACTTGAACCCCATATCAGCTACACTGAAAGGAAACATTGTTTTTATTTCTTTACACTAACACTTATAAAGTTTTAATTTTCTTTGACTTCCAATCAGAATCTTTCCATATCTAGACCGGAAAAGGGGAATAGGAATGCACAGAACTGCAATAAAGGCTTTGAAATAAGGTGGGGAAAAATGACTAAAATTTTCCCTACCAAGTCATTTTCCAGGAAAGACTTCTCTGTAAAAACCAATACTAGTTCTTAAGTCTCTCCTAGTTCTTGATTACAAGTGAAAAAAACAAACAAAAACCCCTTTTGCATTCCTATTCACGTTGCACGCTTTGGAATTTTGTTACTGCTAGCCTGGATGTTACAGCCTTATCTGCTCAGCCCTTCCTCCTTCCTACTCAACCCAAAAAAAGGGTCTCTGCAGATCCTAAATCTGGGACAGGAAATGCATAGTGAGATGAGTGGCAGTGCCTGGGTGACAGCAGTGACTGCAGGCACCCACAGCAGCAGCCTGACACTTCTAAGCAGGCTGGGAAGAGTAGGTTGGAAATGTCCAGTGAAGGGTGGTTGGCAGAGGACGCAGCCCCTACTCTGTCCCAAACTGCTCTCCCTGGGCATTGTTTAGGTGCAGCACTCCTAACAGTAGGATCAGACACTAAACAACACAGCCAATTTTTTTTTCCCTAGGGCTGTCAAAAGCCTAAATTGACAGTTCAAACCAAAGCTTTCAAATCCAAGGGCCCTCAGTAATTCAGGTTTTAAAATGAAACGACTAAAGGTCAATTCTTACAGCTAATGTAGTAAACAAAGTCAGTGGAAGAAATTAATTAAGAGTTGAGTGACGCTGATGCTGACACCAAGGAAAGCCTTCCAAAACATGAAAAACACACTATTTGGGATCTTTGATAACCTTTCATTTTTTAGATAAAATCTCTAGCAAAAATATTTGGTAAACAATAAAGATTGGGGGCTTTCAATAACTACCATGAAGCTCCACCAGTTGTTGCCTTTTTCTTTTCAGAAGTCCCAATGAAATTTATATTGCTTTATATTGTTTATCAGTGTGTCGTACCCTCAAGAAAGATTCCAGATTCAACAGAAGTAGGGATAAATTTGGCAATACTACTGACTCCTATGCTTTTCTTCTATGAAATTGTATCCCACTTTCAGACAAAGAATTACCTCAATCTAATGTTTCAGCTATACCAGCTACTGACAGGTAAGATCCCAGGTATTCCTATTATGCATTATAATTACAAGGATAGGGGTTTTGCTTTTTTCTCTATAAGCCAATGTAATTGATAAGACACGTGTGAACATGGAATGCTAAATTAAAAATCCAAAGTAGTCAAATAAAAATAAACCAAAAGAGTAAACAGAAAGAGACAGAAAGGAGATTATATACATATTAAAAACAAAAAAAAAGAAAAGAGGTCTTTGAAATAATATGACAACACAGAATATCAGCTGCAGCATTTAAAAGGCAGCTCTGGGACACTGAAAAAAAGGAAAAAAAAAACACCCAAAACCAAAATGCCTCGTTTAACCCATTAGGGGCTTCCAATTAGCCAGAGCTAAGTAGAGTAATAGCTACCAGTGAAAGGTATTTTCTACCTTTCCCTGAACTGCTGAGGGGGGGGGAGAAAAAATAATAAAAAAAAAGTCACTCTTAACAGAGTTAAAGTGATGTCTTTGCACAATGCACATCATCTGAGTTCAAGGTAAGGCAAGTGAATTCCCCCTGCTTTGTTTATCCAAGAGATATCACAAACCCACTGTGTGGTTCTTACACCAGAGGCTGCAAGAGACGCTCAGTTCAGTACTCACGAGGTTTTAGTTAGTCCATATTTCTGCAGGAAGTGACCTGCGGGTGGGGAGCATGAGATGACACGATCTCACTCTTTTCACGGGAGAAATGTACAGTAAATGCCTAAAATAGACACAGGCTTTTCTGTATCATAACAACAAGCAGTGACCTCATCAGACACAAGTGTACAAATCGAATCCCATCGGAAGGATTTGTGAGTTAGTTATTGTGAGATCTAACTGTTTGCAGGTAAAAGTTTAGGACAAAAAAGAAAGAAAAATAATCAAAACAGGCCACAGATATTAAAGTAGTTGTTTAAAATGCACTGAGTACTGAAATTTCTGCTCATTTGCAGCAGTTCAATTTTATATCTCCAAATACTTACCTATATAGCAAATTTACAAATGAACCCTCCTCCTTCCCCACTCCTTTGAAAATATTATTCATAAAAGCTAGCCTAATCTTAGGACTGAAAAAACTGAAAAAACCAAGATAGATGCCTTATGAAATCAGACTTTCTAAGACCAATGAACTAAATATACATTTTATTTGCTATGAATTAACTGCACCCATAGTACTAAAAACTTACAAAATTATTCTATCTCTGTAAATAATAAAGTGGTCCCAATTATTTTTTAATAAATAAATTTTAAAAAAATCTGCATTTGGGTTGGTTTGCCAGTGAAGTTCTAGAAAGAACAGCAACAGCAATACAAGGCAAAGTAGTTTTGCAGCAGATTTGCAACCATGTTGTCTGATTTGAGGCTGGGAATCATTAAAAAAAGCAAATAAAGCCATACAGGAATCAAGTATCTCATTCAGTTCTCCACAGTTTTTCTTCTCTATGGCAAAAGAGGCCAAGTACAACGAAAAGGCAGAGTTTACAGTGAATCTGAGAATTTAACCTAACTTGGAAGTGCACAGAGATAAACCATCTTCACACAAGCAAACACTCATTCCTGTAGTGAGCTCAGATATATTCACTGCCCTAGTTTGCAAAAAGAGAACCATGTGATAGGCTGAGGCGTTGGCAAAAAGGGTTGCTGAGGCTTCATGTCAATACACAGATATTTTAGGTATGAGAGTGATGTGAACTATATGCTGGAAGCTGGCACATAGCAAGGAAATAACATTCCTAACTGCATAAGGCATCAGTTACTAATAGGTAGATAATTCATTGGGATTGAACAAACTTCGTAGAAAAATCTTAAAAGCATAAATACACCATTTTTATCTTGAGAAGGAAGAATCAGGCCTAAAACCAAACAAAAATTCTTAAAATATCACACACCTCAGCTTTTCAGTCCCCAGAACACCATGTACATAAAACAATCCTTATTTAACAAGGACATCAGTCTAGCCTGAGATACTTCTTAGCATATGACACAAATAAACAGAATTTAAAGTTGACTCAAGTTCACTATTTGCAGTACTTCAATAAAACAGTAAGTTACAGTTAGGTTTTTTTAAATTTTACGTCTGCATCATTACCATGTTTTGCAACCTACAGGAAAAGCTCTGTAAGCGCAAATCCTCCTTCATGCTCCTGAGGTATGAGGAAAAACCTCTATGAAACAGAAAGGTCATGTCCAAAAAAACACCTCCAAAAACCACCAAACCAAAACAACAACCCTCATTTAAGACTGAGTTACTCAATTTCTTACTGAAACCAATGGCAGCTGAAAAAGAAAAAAAAAAATCAATACTGATTATTTTTTGCTAATTATTAGAAGTCTTTATTCACTTGGCCAACTTGCAAGTCTTAGGTTCAAAGCAAATACTGCAATGATGTTCTGTGTTTTAACCTGTCAACCAATTAAGAGCTCACATTCCATCTCATCCCTGTTACTTTGCCATTTCTTTAAGCTGATTTGCATCATACAGCAATACAAACCTTGCAGGTAAAACTGTTAATAGCTGGTGTAAGTGCATTTTCTGAAATATATTAGAATTACAAAAACAAGGTTAGCACGTTCCCAAGACAGCACTGTTAATTTCAACTGCAGAGTCCTTTTCATATATCAGAATAACACCAGAGTATTGAGAAGTGTGTCAAAGAAGTTTTTTTTAAAAGGTCTTCCAGAGAATTTCTGTAGTGTACAGTGCCAAGACCTGTGAGCCTGCACTGAGCATTCTGTTTGGTTGCTGTATAGTTTAGAAATACAACTGCAGAACTTGGGAGGTGTGATTCAATATTAAAACTTGTATGAAAGAGTAAAAAAGGTGAAGAGTAATTAAGGCTCAAAGGCATTTTACCCCAGTTTCCTGCAGCTGTATGTTGAAATGCCTAACATCAACCCGCTGAAAAGGAAGCAAGTTACTTAACAGAGAACTCCATGACAAACTACATCCCAAATCTACAGACACTCAGGAAATGCACTACAGCACATCTCCATAAGTGTTCTTTTCACTACAGAATGGGGGCAGTAACTTCCAAAGGTGAGGAACATTTTGAACCTTCATTTGTCTGCAGCACTGCATGAGTTACACAAGTTGTCTTCAGCTCAGGACAGACTTGTTTACATCACCCACACTTGCACCTGCCCCCCAAATCTAAAGACATGTATTATCCTCTTGACAAGGAGCTGAAAACAGTTCAATTTTTCTTGGCACAATTAGCTGATTAGGAGGAACTCTACATTAAATGCCTTTCCAATTCATTTCCTGTGCTGTTCACCTACAAACAAAACACACACTTCTGGATGACAAAAAAAAGACAATCCTTTCATCATCCTTGTCTTACTTGGGCAAAACCTAACAGATCTCCTTACATCTTAAAGATTAAAAACCTCCACCACATTTCATGTGCCAGAGGTGAACAGTGTCATTTAAATATAAAGCTAATGTCACATTTTTTATGCCTTACAGAATTTCTTTGTACCAGATCATCAGCCTTCGATACAAAACTAATCCCATTCATTATTCTGACATGACCTTTGTCAATCCACTCCAGATTGCCAGGACTCACATTCTATAGACTGGTTGTAAGTTTGACAGGAATTAGAAACTTCAACAGTAAAATTGTCAGAATTCATCTGTGAAGTGCCTATGGCCTATACATAAAAAAATCTTTTGAAAAATTGGTTCTGTGCAGGGAAAACACTGGCAACAAGAGGTAAAAGTGTTGCCAGTCCGAGTTTTGATTTTCCCAGCACAAGTCCATGCCCATAACTCAGTTGTTGCCTTTAACTCCCCTTGCTAATGATCCCAAAGCACAAAACATACAGATTAAGCATCAAATATTGGTGGCTGCTCAAATACACCAAAGTTACAATGCATATATTAAATAGAAATTTATCTTTGGAGATGAAAATATATGAAAACTACGAAAAATCTGCTCTTCTATGTCTCTTCAGTGGTAGAGCAAATGTCACACAGACTGGTATATGAACAAAGGAGGAGGGAGTGTTACACATAACTTACACAAATACCTGCAGGCTTATTTCAGAAGGACAAGAATAAGTCAGATATACAAAGCTGCAACAGAAAGTGGTGGTAAAAAAAGCAGATTAAGAAGAATTAAACCTGAAGTCAGTGTAAACAATGTTCATAGCTTACAGAACAACAAGCGACTGTTTTCAAAACTTTTTTTTTTTTCATTTCACAAATTAACCATTGAAAAAGCAGGCATGCAGGTTTTCTAGAAAAGACTATTCACACACACTGTTATTTATCACTCAGTGCAGTTTCATGCATATATTCTCCAGATAGCTTGTTTAATGAGAGGCCAAGGCAGGTAACCACTAAAAGAAAACATTATTCAATTACTGAACATGTTCTGGTTTGTTTTGTTGCTGGGGTTTTTTTTTTCCACATTTGTCACTTCTCATTTACAGACATGACTGTAGAATGAAGCTAAAAAGTTACAGATCCTTACCTGCCACACCAGCTGAAATCATGTGTACCTGGGTAGAATCTGGATTGAAAATACTGTTCAGCTTTTCCTTGCAGTTTGAGTAAGCAGCAAAATATATGGCTCTAAAATCAGAACAAAATCCAAGTTATGTTTTGTGTGTCAATATCTTTAATAAGCAGTGCCATTAACTGCACTAATCTAAGTCATCTTGGGTTAAAATTTACTTCCTCAGTAATGAGCTCCTCAAGGATTAACTCCTGCAACATGGTGGGACTATTCTAGGAGCAGAAAAGAAAAACAAAGATGATACATTTTAACTTTTTCTTCCACAACAGCTCCAATTACCAATTAGTGAGGGGAAGGAGGGATGAATAGACATCTGTGACACTGGGAAGCAAAACACTGCTGAACTGAAAACTCAAGTTTCAGTATTCTGCAACACTTAAATATGAGAACAAATTTGCACTAATGGACCTAAACTCATTTCAACAGCATGACAATTTCAAGAGAACAAACAAGTACGCAGCTTTTTTAAAAAAAACCCAAACAGCATTCTTAATATTTTTATACAATTAGAGACGTAAATATTGCTAACTTATGGTTATAAATGTTAATACATCAAATGCTAGAACAGCTGTGAAGCCAGTATCTACATTTTGGTTCTTCAGTTCTGTACTCAGAATGTACACAATTTTTCTCTGAATACACTCCCAAAAAAAGGTTGTAAACTTGAGTCTGTGAGCTGGTATTAAAATAAAGTTAGACAAAGTCAGCATGTCAATTCAACATATTACGAAAAATATGAAAATTTGAAATAATCATGAAACGATTGAAAATATGAAAACTTGTTTTCAATCATTAAAGCTAAAAAGCTCATTTTAATCACATTTAAAACCACACATTTCAGGTTGTTAGTTTCTTTAAACACCTCTCTACAAGGGAAAAAGTGAACGTGCAACTTTTCGTGGATAGAACATTAACCTCATTAGCTGTGCAAACATGTTTTTCTTCATTACAAAAAAAGATAAAGTGCTTGCTTCATGGGTGTAATTTCTCAAATGGAACCTGAACTCAGTTAAGTGTACTGGATGTGTTACGAAACATGCTTCCCTAGAGCTTATTTAAACAAAGAGCTGATGTTAAATCCACTTAGCTAATGCTTAATTGAAATGAAGTACTAGAGGAAGACCAAGGTAGCCAGAGGGAAATAGGGATGTGCTTATAAATAAGACTTCACACACTACATCAAGTTGACATTTTTGGTATGGGAAGGGGGTGTGGGGGGGAAGGAGACAAGCTAAGCACTTCACTTGGGGGAAGAAAAGGGAATTAGATTTAACATAAAATTTATTGAAAAGAAATAAGATTTGTTTTTTTGCAACTGAGGATGTTTTCCATTGAGGATAGTAATTTATAACGTGAAACCTCTTCCTGGATAAAAATTTCTATTATTATTATGATATCAATGTCGAACATTTGATAGAACAGACTGGTCTACCAAGCAAAAATAGAGGCTTTTCAGATTAGGAAGTGCTGATACCCTGCAGGTGTAAAGAACAAAAAAAGATACTGGATTTACTTTAGCTTCTCCAACGAACAGCAGTAAGTCAGCAATCAGAAAATACCTCAGGTATTCCTAAATCCTTAGAAAAAAAAAATCTGATAAAGACACTCCAATTCCTTTATTACGTTTTTCTCTTATGCAAAGGATCTACAGAACACTGCCTTATCTGTCAGAGCTGAAGTTCAGTTTAATAACGTTTTCCAGGAACATCCAAACACCTTAAAGCAGAAGAGATACTCTCTAGCTGAGTGTGTAGGGGTCAAGAATGTTTTCTCTTCAGGCAAAGTAAGTAAATAAACAAAAGCAGAGTGCTCAGTCAAGGGAATAATAAAGCCTTTGTGGAATACATTCCCTCTGCATGAAGAATCTCCTCAAACAGAAGAGAATAAAAGTGAGCCAGAAAACAACTACAGCCTCATGCAGGATTAAGTAGTTATATTACTTTTACACAGCTTTGTTTCTACTCTCTTCCTTATGTATTCTCCTATTTTTAGATTCAACTTTGGCTCACACTTTTATGTACGGAGAAATTCAAGCTCTGGCATCATCTGCTCCTTGCTCTGAGCGCCAGCACCAGCCTGGAGCTGGAGTATTTGTGCTGATGCAAAACTTACTTCAAATAAATCCCTTAGTTTATTTAGTGTGCATGTTTGTATTTACCTGGAAGGAGCAACGCCTACTAAATTGGGACCCAAACCTCTGAACAGAGAACGAGGGCCTTCATTTTGCAAGATCATCCTAGAAAACAAAAAAGACAATACTGTAACATTCAGATCAAAATTAAGGAATGCACTGACAAACAAATACATCATTTTAACCTTTACTCTGAAAAACTTTGATAATAACTGACAATACAGTGCTGACCACAAAAAATTAGTTATTTCCTAGAATCAGAATAAAAGATTCCAATATTGCTTGACATGCCATAGAAATCCAGAAATTAAATGCCAAGGTAGGACTTATGATGTCAATAGAGATTTACCTCAAATACAGGAACACATCCATGCATGGAGTTGTATGTCATCAGGAAGCTAAAGAAAGTGTCCTCTAATCAGGGAGAAAATACTAAGAACAGAAATGCCCATGTTCCTGTAGGTTTTAGATTGTTCAGGAGGCAAAAATACTTTATTCTATGCTACATTCCTTTCACCATCCTTTAGGTCCACATGCTTAACTTCTTGGAGTGGAAGGGTCAAAAGGCAAAGGGCAAGACATGAAGAGAGGAGAGAGACTTAAGTCGTTTCACTGAGTCACACTCCATCTGAGAGCTCCTCAGGAAGATGTAAGCTCTCATAAGCTCTACTGCTTATGATGTTCAGTCAGGGACACCTTTGGCAGCCTATTATCTCCTCTTCTCAAAAAGAGACAAACCTCAACAGGGCTTTGCATGCGCTACCCTGGTTTGATTCTACACTATTCGCAACAGTACACTAAATTACTCATCAGAAGTTGCTATTTGGAAGGTTGCTTTCCTCTATATCCTACCTTTCTCAAACCTATAAGTTATTTAACTTCATTAGGTATTTAACAAGGAGCCTTGGCTTTATCCTTTTACATATGGTGACTACTTTGGCTACAGTAAAAGGAAATGGAAAGCTCCAATGTATGGCATTCCTTGAGGCTGGCAGGGATTCCCTGGTCAGTTCTGAACTGCTGCCTCTGTGCTCCTCCCCAAGCTGCTGCTGAGCTGTGGAGCCAGGGGGTTTTTTTGCCTTTTGACTATCTTTCCTTCCAGAAGACACAATGCCTTTCCATGCAAGGTAATTCACTGATATTAACTGAGACAGGAGTGTAACCCATGCAAAGAGTCACAGTCTCAGTACAGTCCTAAATCTCGTGTACCACGCCCACCATAAACACAGCTTGGGTGGCAGCAGGGCGTGCCCTTCCATCGTTGAATTTACAGAGCAACAGGGATACAAGCAGTGAGTGGAGACCTCAAGTGCGGCATTACTAGTACTTTAGTGTTTGCAAGACTAATCCCATGGAGTTGTGGATTTTAGAAAGCATTGAAAGCCATTATGCAAGGTACACTGCCACGGTAAGAGAATATTCATTAATATTCAGTTTTCAGAAGGCAATCTGTCCAACAATCCAGATGTTAATCACAGTGGTATTTTACAAAGTGTGATAGGGCATGGGAGGAGAAACATGGACTACCTGCATCCCATTACCGCAAATTGCTCTAGCAATTACTTTAGAACCATATTTAAAGTTAATTCTTAACTACTTCCCCAGACGCTGCAAAACAGAAGCCTGTGCTTATTGATTTACAAATGTTGACCAATATACAGAAATAGCTCTACTGTATATTTCTTCTTCAAAGAGAGATACAGGTTAATGACAAGTCAATTACTCAATAAAGTACACTACCCTTGTATAAATGGCCATTTTATTTGGAATATACTATCAGAACAAACAAGCACTGAAGGAGATTCCAAGCCTATTCTGATTTCCATTAGCTGATTCACTATTGTTCTGCTGCTAAATCCAACAGGAAGTTTACATTTGCTTTCAATAAGCAAAAATGAAACAGTGGTTCTGAAGTTACCAGCACTATTTAGGATGTGTCCAGCAACATATCAGCTTTGTGTCCATAACAGTTAGACATCACTGCACTGTGTGGGTAGCACTGCTCCACAGCAATAACTGGAATATTGAACACAAACTCAAAGATACTTACTTAGACCTGCCTGATATCCTGGAAGCTTTGTTAACAATTGCACTGCTGAATCCAATTGACGTGATCTGTGTCCACTTAAAACACTACTGACAAATCACTACCACCATATCCCGTGGTACACACAGGGCACATACATCTATTCCAAGCAGAAAGAATCTGTGTCTTGAGAGAAACTTAGGACTGAAATGAACCAGGTCTATTTGTTTCTTCTGGATCTAAAGTCCCAACATTTGACAGACTAGCAAAATTTGAGAGATTTTAACAGGATTATCATGGAGGTAGTTGTTGATGTTCTCCTGCATTCACAGACACAGTTGGAGGAGTTCCAGAGTCTGCACTGAAAATAAGACCAACTTTTTGCATTAACGAGCAAATCCCAGAGCCTGCACTTGTTTATTGAACAAATGCAGCAAAGGGCAAATCCATGGTTGGAAGAGCAGGACAAGTGCTCCACACAGCCTCAGCTGACCTACTTATGTCACATGGAGAAGCCTGCACTGGGAGGCCAGTGAGATTGCCATTACCAAGACCTCAGGTTTTGTGCAAGGTTAACGATGAGAATCGGTAACATGACATACAACACAGATATTTAAGGGAATTTGCTTTTGTTGCCAGAGAATGGAGTCACCTGTACCAGTTATTCCAAGCTTGTTTCTTGACAGAGATGCCTTTGAAGTCACCTCTGCTGATGCTTAAAATGCAGAAGTGATTCTACATCAGTCAGCTCACTGAAATTCTGACGTAATTTGCCTGATTGTCCCTGCTTTTAGACTGAGCATTGTGAGCCTTGGAGCACTGCACTGAGTTTGCTTAGATAACCAAACTGAACAACTACGAGCCAGAAAATTTCAAGTGACATGAAGAGCATGAGAGTGACAGAGGAATCCAGTTTTATTTCCCCGCTGAACAGCCCTAGTACCTTAACCTGTAAGGAGTAATTCTGTCTTCCACCTATGTATTTTTATTGTCACAGTCCATTGCCACATCATTCAGGATTTTTCTTCATATTTAGTGTATTTAAAGAACTGGAAACCCAGACTTTGCATTTCAGTTGTTTGATAACAACCTGAAAGAAAACACATCTAAGCAAAGAACAAAAGCAGCAGAAGAGACGTATTCTTGTGTGACAAATAAACAGCAGATGTAAGATGACAATTGTTATAAACAAACTAACAAAACAAACAAACCAACAAAACAAACAAACCCAACCAACGAAGTTCATCATGGACCACCTCTGCCTCAGCCTGAACTTGCTCCCTGGGAATACCCAAATTATTTTTGGCTTTAGGGATGCTTTTAAAGCCTGGCGGGCTTCTAGCAGAGGAGCGTAAGAAACAAATATCTATTCTATCTGCTATTTATTCACATACTCTTCTAAACAGAAGGTAAATTCATAACCAAGCATTCAGAAAGCAAATGAAGGGCTCAATTTCCATCAAGAGAAGCCAATAAGGCAAGGATGAAACACTTCTTGCTTGTCACAATCCAAGCCTTTCTTTTCCACATATTTGTTCACCTATCAAATTCACATAAAAAGACTCTGAATCCAAACTTTCATGCTAAGAATGATTTTCCATTCAATGAGCTATTTGGGTACAACCTCCATATAAAGCAAATCCTATCCTCTAACCAGATAAGGCCTAAATCCTACAGTAACTGCCAGTTTGGATGTGTGTTGTACAAGGTTTATGTGCTCTGGGTAAGTCACACTAGAAACTCAGGCATGAAGGACATTCAGAAAATTGGAATGTGAAGATTACAGTTAAAAGGCAGAATATGTAAAGTCACCTCCTGGTAACAGGACGGACAATACTCTGAGTCTTTCATACAGATTTGTCCAAAATACTTCGCTCCTCCCCAAAATGAACCCAAAACTTTGTGACATGTACACTCACTTCAAACAATGGAGAGGTCCAGGAGAAACTCTGGTTACTCTGTTGACACCAGCACCATTCACAGTGTTGAGATGAACTTCAGAGATGTAGAGAGTCACAGAGGAAGACTGCAATCGTGTCTTCACAACTTCCAGTGGACATGTCAGAATTGCACCAACAGTACCTCCACATCTGCAAAAATAAATAGGATCACCACATTTGTAACTCCAAAGAAACTGTGGGGATACATTCACGTATAATTAGCATTGTAATACAGTCAGACTGCAAAAGGTGAAGAACCAACCAGAACATGTATGACAGTGCTGCAGTTATTTGCCCTTGAAGGCAAACAAACTGTTAAATCAGTTTGTTAATCCCACAAGTTGGAGTGAAAAATTAAACAGACAAAAAGTGGTGAAGGAGCACAGTCTCCAGTACATGCTGTTCAAATCAGCTCTGGAAAGTAGCTCAATAGTTGAAATGTTTAACTTCTTATGGTAAATTTTAACTATTTTTTTTTTTTAATGTTTAGTGCACTCCTGACCGCAAACAAGGTGCCAACAATCCTTCAGGGTAGAAAAGATTTATGTGCTATGCACACAGGGCTACACGTAAAACCCAGTAAAATCTGTGCCATGGCAATTTAATAACATCTTCAAAATATTTGGGGTATTGTACCATGAAAGCAATGATTTCCTGAGTTCTGTCAGCACAGCAAGGCAGACTAAGATACTACAGAGTAGAACCTGGGAAGATAAAGAGCTCAAGGGGCTGAGCAGGTGAAGCCGTGTAGGTTTTGCCTCAGTCTGTTCCTGTGAGCAAGTCCAGGCAAGCCGTGCACGACTTGTGCTGACAGTGCAGTTCCTGCCGTGCTGCTGGAGCAGAACACAGCCAAGAACACACTGCCTGTGCACAGCCCTGCTCAGAGGATTCTTCTGGTGCTGATTCATCACTCACTTATTAACATCTGCATTCCTATCTGTTTAAATACACCCTCTGAGGGACAGATATCAAAACCACAAATTCTGATTTCGAAGGCAGCCCCAAATGCCCTGACATTATCATTACAGAAAAGCCCTCGACATCTTCCTTGTACCTTTTCACAGAACAGTATTCTTAACATTGCTAAACACCCTTCTTAAAACTATGACCAGGACACTCGTTTTAAATATATATTAGTTTTATATATCTCCTTTAAAAAACAATCAAAAAATCCATCCCAGCAAGTAAACCTAGATTTCAGTTCAGGTATCAATGCTAACAACTACTCAGTTTGAAATCCACTAACACACAAACACAATTTGTACTACATTCAAAGGGCCCAGCATTTGCTTCCCCGATGCATTATCTAGAGGAGGTGTTTGATTCTGACAACATAATTATCAGCTATTTCTTTTCTAACATAGGAAACTCAAACACCCCCAAAGCCTTTAAAAAGCTGTAAGTAAGCCTGTTCAACAGTCTCTTTAAAATAATGTTTTCCAAAATGCAAAGGAGAAATCAGTCCAAATTAGGAGTAACAGCTAAGACTCAAGATTTCCTACACATTTTTATAGTTGTGTAGTCTGATGACTCTTCTATCACAGAGAACACAAAAAATAAAGCACTGTATCCTAAGAGAGTAAGGACTGAGCTGACAGTACAGCTGCAAAGCAGGATAGCATTTCATGATGTTCACTTCATGCTCCATTTAAACCTAGTGACCTAGAGGTGTCCTATTACTAAGCCTACAGGCATCTTGCCCATCTCTAACTCCAACATTTCTCTGAACTCTACTCTCTTCCAAGGTTTAACTGAAGAAAGATATCAAATTTCTTTGTCAGTCTGGAAAAAAAAAGTGTTCTGGCAGGAAGATAAACCAGTCTTTCAGTGTATGCTGCACTCACACAATAACAGACTGTCACACATCTTGGAGTAGCACGTCTGGAGTGAGCAATTCACTTGCTTCTAATTGTATTTTAAAATTAGAGACGCAGATTGACAGGACAGATGTGCTAAGATTTATTTTAGCCACTGCTGGGCACAGCAGGAGCTTGTAATATGTGAAGCTTCACAACATGACCACCACATGAGAACCACAGGTAGGTCAGCCCCAAACACAACTTGACATGAAGATGCTCAAACTCTACAGCTCTGAGCAGACAGCAAGTTGCTGCATTTCCTGCAGTTCAAAGTAGATACCACCCCATGGTAATGTGCCTGTGCAGCCAATGTAGAAATCTGGCTTTAGAGTTTATTTCCTTTGTTGCAACCCCTCCATTTCCAACCCCCTTGAGCTTACTCTCCTGAAAGTCTTTCTGCATTTGATTTTGGACAGGTTACCTGAGAACTTGATTTTGAACAACAGTAATCACAAGAGAAAGCACACAGTATGATTTATATTCATGAGATAAATACCACGCAAGTGGGGAAGAAAGTAGGACAAAAAAACGATGGCCTACATTCTTGAACAGGGCTTGGAATTTGGAGCCCTTAATGCTCACACCAGAATACATCTCACCAGAAGAATTCTCCAAAGCTGAAGATGAATGCTGCCCTGGAGCCTGTGCCCTGCATGCTCCCCTGCACCACACCCCTGACTGTAGCAGCACTTGTGCCAGATGTTCACTGTGGATGGCTCAGACACACCTCACTCCACAGCAGACTAGGAGATGAATGGGGAAGAGGGCAGATCCACAGATACTCAGTGTTTGCTCTTTTTAAGTCTTCTTACAGTGAGCACTTCTCAGTGACAGCCAGTGACTGCTTACCCGCATCAGAGGGCAGCAGCAGATCACCCACCTCCCTTTTAAGGCCTTTACCTGCATTACTTTCGGCCATTCAAGTAATTTCAAATAATCAGCACCCTTGGCAGCTTCTTGCTTTTGTGTTGTTGGGTAGTTGGGTCAATAATTCAAGATGATTCAATTGAACCCAAGAATATTTTCAGTGATTCCCACAAACTAATGACAGTTTGCATTAAAGCTCTTCACTGTTCCCATCCTCAAGATCTCAAACTGCTACTTAGAGTTGAAGACAGCAGAGAAGTTTTATAGTGCTACACGGTTCTGTATCACTCAAGTCTTAAAAAAATCCCCAGTTTCTACTTCTGTCCAAGTCTAATACTCCACTTTCTCAGCCCTCAAGAAGTCCCATATAATAGAGATAACATCTGGAACTGAAGGACTGAAAGAAAAGGTCTTGGTATGTTGAGGAATCAGAACTTCTCAATATGCACAAGATCCACTGAGTATGAACAAGCACTAAAAGAAGGCATAATCCAGTAACTACTCTTGACTTGTCTGGTTCACTTGACCTTTAAGATAAACATGCAAGGCTTGACAAAAACCTGTTTATGAGGAACTGTCAGTAAACAGAGCCTGTGTGTAAACAGAGACAATTCAGGAACTACATACTCTGTACAAACAAGCAACTTCTAAGCAGCAATACCAGCTGCTCTGTCACCAGCAGCAATGACAGCATGTTTTACTTAGACATATATTTCTGGCCTACTGCTTATTTAACACACTACTAGAAATATTGTCCAAAGAGACAGTTACTTTTTTGTGCCCCAGGTCCTGGCAGGCCATCAGCAGCCAGCCAGCAGCTCCTGCTTACAAGTGTTCTAAAAATTGCCAGCAGACTGCTGCTACCCTCCCTGCTAACCCTCCTCACCAGTTCAAATTTTGGGGAGTTTTTTTAGTTTGTGGTTTAACACAAATTATGGGCTAGCACACTTTGGAAAAACTTTTTTTTTTTTTTAAAAAAGCTAGAAAATGATTAGATTTCCTTCTCCTCCTAACACAGGTGGGATTTCGTAAACTACTTCAGACATTTTTATTGCCTAAAACCACTCTGGGCTTCAGTATCTCCAGACATGCACTAGGCCCCAACAACTGTGACTTCTAAGAACACTTACTAGTGTGTAAACTTTTCTGCAGAATTAGATGGGTTTCATCTGGTAGAGTAAATAGGCGAGCAAACACATTCCTGCTGACAGAGTGTAAATGGCAAGTCCTGAACCCTTCTGTCTGAATTTTTACAGCACTTTCTTATGAATGCTGTTCAGAAGACCACTTGCTCTTGTATTAGATGTTGCATTTGCCTCTAATCAATGTTTACTACAAGTCTTTTTCAGCTCTGCCAAGTGAGTATAAAAACACATGCAAAGATGACTTTAATCAGAAACACCTGATCGTGAAAGAGAATCCACCTGTGGGGCCCAAAGGAACTGAAGGGTAGAAAACTAAAGATAAGTAGGTAAATCCATAAAAATAAACACACTGGTAAAAAAAAGGAAAACTAAAATTCCACCATTATGAACACTGTCAAGTTAGAGAATTAAGTCTTGAACTTGAGCCTTCTTGTGCAGTTTAAGAGACCTGGTGCTCAGTGAAACAGATACATGTACACCATGAGACATGTAGGTATTATCTAACCTGCAGGATCATGACAAACTTAAGAAAAAAAAGACAGCAAAACCAAGAACAGTTGTATACTTGACATCCCTTGGACAGAAGAACCTAGAGAGATGAAAACGCTCACCTGAACTCCAGCTTCTTCCAGACAGCACCCATGGAAATGAAAGGCCCAAACACCCCACCCACAGTATATTTAATTTGACCCCTAATGTGCATTTAGAAGTCTATCACCTCACCAGATGAACAGAAACAAACCAGGATATACTGGGCTTTAAGCTCTGCTGGCAGTTCAACACAGACAGTTCTGACAACTATTTTCCCCATTTTATATTTGAGTGACAGTGCAAGGAAAGAAAAATTCACGTGCTCCAAAAACCTAAACCCGTTTGGCATTCAAATCCCAGGTTCTGTTTGCAGAGATGGATGCACAAGAAAGCCTTCTCTCATTATTCCAAATTGAAGGCATATGCTAGGAAGTCCCTGCCTTTGTTCCAGAGCAGTTAAGTCTCTTCTACTGTTACCTTTCACACCTGCAAGTAAGAGCAGAGAACTCCGGCATGGATGAGGGTCTCAAATCCAGCCAGTGCACTGTCTATAAATGCTCTGAAGCAGATTAATATCCCCAATGTCAGCATCAGCTGACCTAGAACTGAAACTGTCAGTGAGAGACTTCTTTTATTCCTTGAAATAATGATGTATTTTATAAAAATAAAAGGCAAGGCTGCATGGTGTTAGTCTCAGATCCACCTTTCACAGTGTTTGTAACCACAGCATCAAAGACTTGGAGATAACCCCTGACCCTGTTATCTCCGGTCTACATTCATTCATGTATTTTACCAGCTATTTACCTTTCCTCTATGAAAATGAAAGTTCCATACAAATACTGGCTGATAAAAGGAAAGCAGGAAAACTGAGCTCAACATTCTGTCAAAAAAAAAAAACACCAAACCAAACATCAAGGTATCCAAGCCTCTCACAAAAAGAACTCCTTCCTATCTCTTCATTACTTAAAATTCAAGTCCCAAATCTGTCAGCAATTTCATGGAGCTGTATTACAACCAGAGTACCCTTCACATCAACAAAGTTGCAAGTTTGGACCTTAAGTTTTCAGTATCAGTCTTCTGATAACATTTAAGGGCTTTAGCAAGTATAGCTTTTAGAAAAAGCAAGAATGTACATCATTAGACTGAATTTTCAGGGTTTTCCTGTTGTTATACTGTTCAACTTGCAGATTATAAGCACTTCTATCTTCAGTATTAATACAGTGTTTAGGACTACTGGCAGACAGAAATCCTTAAGCCCCTTATTCACCAATTATGTTTCTTTACGAACAAAAAAAAAAGTAGGTAAGTTATGTATCCTTAAACTTTAAATACTAATCGAACTTGCTATTTCTAATTAACAGTATAAAAATAAAATCCCCCTGATGTGCTGCTACATAGAAACCTACAAGTGAAAACAGGAAAAACAGCACCAGGGGACCAAGCATCACTGGGTTCCATTCTCCAAAACAAACATCAACATGAATAGTTTAGTTTCTATTAGGGGCCAGGGTAAATAAACATGTATAATAACATTTGTGTTAAGTTAAAACCACTCAAAGCATTTGCATCTAGAAAGAAATATGAGAAACAGACCAGTGGCACAGTGTCTCAAATACTGACCACAATCTTCATGCAATTTGATAACTCTATGGAGCAAAGCCCAAGCTTTAAACAAACACTGTCTTATTCCACACAGAAGTGTATCTGAATATAAACATAACCTCAGGTTTGGATAGGAAGGGACTAACCTTCCTCTCACTTGTTCTGAAAGACAGCCAGGGTTACACATCAAGAATGCATTTGAGGGCAGAGAGGAACGAAGTGCTTGACAACTCAGTTATGACTCAAGTGGCTATTTTCTGAAAGGGCATAAAGAAGCCCCCATCACCATAATATCCACTACAGATGATTATTATCTTTTTAATCAGAAAACTCCAAGAATCTTTCACCTTTACTTCATAATTTTAACAGTGTCTGATCTCTGAGAATTCAAAGATTTATCTTAAATACATTTCCTGTACCTCCATCCGAGGTGATTTTAGTGACAGACCAATTTGAGACAGTTCTATAATCAAGATCAAATAAAGAGACTCCTCCCTATGCTCCCTCACATATTAAACTAGAAAACAGCCAACTTTCTGCAGGAAACACAGGAGCTGAACTGACCTCCAAACACAAAACCATCCTTTTTTTTGTGAGGAAACACTCAGGCAAGTTCCCTGCTCTGATGGAAGTTTGTATAATACAGAATCACTGCCATCAGCTTCCTGGAAATAAAGAATCAATCACAAAACCCTGAAGATTATTTTTGTAGCCAACACCTGAATTTCCATTCAATATACCAATTATGATTGCAAGCAGGCACATCCAAAACATATTCATCTTCCCTATAAAGCAAACGATTAAGAGTTTCTACTCTTTTTTTAAGGAGTCAATACTCTCCAGCACATGGTGTGACTCTTGGGGAGAGCTCTGTGCAGGGTCAGGAGTTGGACTTGATGATCCTTATGGGTCCCTTCCAACTTGGCCTATTCTGCCATTTTGTGAACCAGAAGAGCGTGTAACTACCAGTTACATACTTGAAGCAAAATGTTAATCTACAGCCTACATTTCAATCACATAGCTTTGTAATTTAAGGATGGAGAATGCTCAACTGATTTCTTCTTGGTTTGGAATAAAAGCACCTGAGTTTACACTACCAACACTGTCTACAGTCACAACAGCTGCTGTTTGACTGGGTGATGGGAGAACAGAAGATATACAAAGGGGAAAAAAAAAAAATCTAGAGCCCTGGCAGCTACAGAGAAATCCCAGGATGGCCTCATCTTTCTTGAAGTCCTTCTATCTATGTTACTAAACCAGCAACGTCATCTGTTACAGTTTCATTTCACAAAGCAGGAACTAAAAAATGAACTTGGACACTGAAAAAAAAAAAGGCCAGCAGATTGAGATATGCGTGTTGTTTTCACAAGAGACTCCAGTGCAACTTAAAAGAAAACAAAAAAGTTTGCTTGCTTTTGAAGTTTCACTGAAGGCTAAAGATCACTCAGGTGATCTGTTATGCACCAAATTTGCAAAGTCATGAGTTGACCCTGAAAACTTTTCTACTGCTAAATGAGACCAAATATAAACTGTTAGCTTGACTGGACTATGGCTACAGGAAACACGTGGCTGGCACATGCACATGAGGAAACTGCACTCAGCCTTTTCCTCACAGAGTAACCCTTGACCCAGCTGGCCAGCAGCTCAGCACAGACTAGAGCTCTCTGCAGAAGATAGGAATGAACCAGCTGAGCTGAGCAATCTTCATCCGGTTTTAAGTTTCGGGTTTGTAAACCTGTTTGTGACGTTACACACGAGTCTGCCCCGTAATCACCCTTGGGCAGAGCTATCAAGTGAGCACCACTTACAGAACCACAGAATAACTGGGATTGGAAGGGAACTCTGAAGACCATCCAGTCCAACCCAGGGCAGCCTGTTCAGTGCTCTGCCACCCTCAACATAAAGTTCCTCCTCATGTTAAGGAGGAACACCTCTTGTGTTTTAGTTTGGGGCCACTGCTCCCTGCCCTCTCACTGGGCACCACTGAGAACAGTCTGGCACTGTCCTCTTGATACCCCTGTGACATATTTTGATGCATTAACAAGAACCCCTCTCGGTCATCTCTTCTCTGAACTAAACAGGCCCAGCTCCCACAATCTCTCCTCCTAAGAGAGATGCTCTAGACCCCTAATTATGCCTGTGGCCTCCACTGGACCCTCTCCAGCAGATCCTTGTCTTTCTTGAACTCCTTCTATTGCCTTTTTTTTTTAAGCACTTACAAGGATGTGAAGTCTTAGTAAAAAAATTATACACTACTACATCTGACTCCTGCTGCACAACCACTCTCCTCTTAAACAGAGTGCCAGACATTAAGGGGGTGAAAAAGCCCCACACAAGCAACAGACCAGGTGCATGATGTGCATAAATCTGCAAAGTGAGCCAGAAGCAAAGAAAGTGCCCACGAGTGATCCAACTCACCCAAACACGGTCAGAGAAAACACATTATTATTCCACCTCAAACATGCCAGTCCAGAGGCAGTGAGCTCATTTTTGTCAATGACAAGCACAAATGGAAGCCACAGCTCCAAGCTCTCCCATGGGATACAAAGCACGTTCTCAGTGGGTGTCACTCCCACTTCTACAGCCCCAGGCTCACTCCCCAAACACACTTTTACAGTCAAGCCAATTAGGATTCCCAGCTTTCCCTTGTAAGCCAGGTGCCCTTCCCACCCAGTCCCGGGAAGGGCCCCATGTTGTGTAACCACCCGTGCGTTCGGAAGCTTAAAAAGACACCGACACCAAACACCTGCGAGGGTACAGGAGTTACCTCAAGCCTAAGTAAAGCCACAGGGGACACACCTTTACTTCTAGGTGCATTCTTCCCTCCCACTGCCTCTGCCTTTCCGGGTGGAACTCTGCGGGCCGTGTCGAGCAGCACAGCCCGGAGCGCTGGAACGCATTCCAGGGACACAGCGGCCCCTGGACACGAGCGGGACCAGCCAGGCACTCCCGGCCCGCCGAGACACCGGGATACAGAGCCCCTCAGAGCGGGCTCCTCCACGACGACACCGGATAAGGGACAAGCCCCTGGAACGACGCTGGTTTTAAGGGAAACCTCCCCCACCGTCACAACAAAACCCCCAGTTCCGAGCGCTCCCAGGGCCGGGCCCGAACGCGCACGGCGGGCCCGGAAGGGCCTGAGGGCAGCGGGCGCGGAGTGGAGCGCGGCCCCCCCCGGCCCCTCGGGCACAGGGAGCGGGGCAGCCCCTCCCGGGCCACTGCCGGGCTCCAGACAGAGGGGCAACCCCTCCCGAGACACCGCCGGGCTCCGGGCAGCGGGCCCCGCCCCAGGGGCGGCCACCGCCCCCGCTCCCGGGCCGAGCGGCAACGGGCGTGGGGCCGCACCAGCGGCCCAGGAATAGGGACGAGAAAGCCGGAGGGTCCCCGCCCGCGGCTTGTTTCACTTACCCGCCGGCGAAGAGATGCACCAGGGTATCCCTCTGGCTCATCCTCGTCGCCTGCGCCCGGAAAGGAGGAAGGAGGTGCCGGGCGCTTCCGCCCCGCGCTCAGCGCGCCGCGGCCGGCGGGGCTGCGCTTAAATCCGGGCCAGGCGGGCTCCGCCTCCCGCTCCTCCCGCCGCGGCCGTTGCGGCACCGAGCGTGTGTGACACGAATATGCATCGAACATGAATATTCATAAGTAGGAATATGCATAAATACGAATATATAATGAGCTCATTGTGCTAACCAGACGCGGCTATTGGGTGCAGGATGTGACGTCACGGCAGGGGCGGGACCCTCTCATGAATATGCAACACCCCTCCCGAGGTAAACAGAGGCGGCCGTTGGCTGCGGGGGGTGACGTCACCGCACGCGCTGCCTCATAAGGCGGGCGCGGAGGGCGGGGCCGTTTTTCCCCCTCACGCTGTGGAGTGGTGGCGCAGTTACAGCGGGACGGGCCGTGTCCTGTCCCTGCCTCCCGGGGCCTTTTCCCTTTCCTTCTAACGGGCACTTCAAGTGTGTGTAAGCATCTAAAGCGGGAGCGCCAAGAGCCAGACTCTGCGGGGGGTGCCAACCAACAGAACAAGAGGCGACGTGCAGCAACTGATGCCCAGGAAGTTCCACCTGAACGCGGGGAAGAACTTGGTTACTTTACTTCTTTACCGGGACAGATCGCCCAGAGAGGGAGCGGAGTGTCCCTCTCTGGAGAGATTCCAGAATCGCCTGGACACAATCCTGTGCCGTGGGCTCTGGGATGGCCCTGCTGGGTCAGGGAGGTGGGAGCAGATGCCCCACTGTGGTCCCTTCCATCATGACCCATCCTGTTATCTGCAGCTCCCTGAGCAACCTTCATCTTCTTTTCCCTCAAAAAATACACAGATGAGGGGAAATAAATAGGGCTAAATATATTTATATTATATATATATACTTAACATCATGTGTAAAATTGTTGTCAGGGCTAATATTTTGAAAATCCAGGCACCTAAAAGCAGATAAATTACTAAAATCTTCATGAATATCCACACAATAAATACAGAGATCTTCCAAAATATAAGCAGCTGTCTCACAATAGCACAACAATTTTTGATTTGTGTATTAATAAAACAGGAATGCATTTTGAAAGTTATTTTTTAAACCGAAAATCCTCCTCTGAGCCGGTGAGCTGACGTGGAAGAAAAATAAGCTGGAAATGTGAAGTGAGATTTTGCAAGACAGGTGGGATTTAAGGAGGAGGCTGGGTGGGAGAAGTGTGAGATGTGAAAGTGCTGTCATTACATTGAACTGGGACAAGTAAAAGTAGGACAATGATTTTGCAGTTGCTGTTCTGCATTGCTACTCCTTGCAGCATGCAGTTGAAACTAATGATCAAATGACTGGTAATTGCTCCAAAACAGAAAGACAGGCAAGACTTTCACAAACCTGTAGTAAATGTACATGAGGCACGTTGGGTTTAATCTTCAAAAAGTGAGAAAGGATCACATGCTGCTTGGTACAAGCTGTCACACAGAAAAGAGTAAATATATTCAGGTTAATTAAAACAGATAAAATATTTTGAGGGTACTGGAAAACTCCACCAGTGGCTTTATTAAATGCTACATGAAAGACAGTCATATAAGAAGTACTTAGCGTGAGGTCACAAGTTCAGTTTTTTTCCAATTCCCTCAGCAGTAGCTTAAGAGGGAACAGAAGATGGGTTTTCTGCAGGCCATGTGATGCCATCCAGCGAGCACATGTCCCAGAAAACTCAAAAGAAGATTAAATACCAAATAAAGGCTCTGTTTCATTCTGTCTCTGTGTAGGTGAACACCTAATCTGGGAGCTTTTAACTTCATCTGGCACTTATGGCTTCTACTGCGAGAAATGGAAAAATGTAATGTGATTATTTTCATGAATACTGACTGAACAGCTAGAATAAGTAGTGCTATTGAAACATTTTATTTGCATAATTAGATACTCTGTAATGTTTTAAAATTGTATCTTTTTATAGAAACTTTCGTTTTTCCACTGACATACTTAGCAGGTCTCAACTGATATATTTTCAGTCTTTATTGGGGGTCTGAAACACTTTGATTCAAATAATTTTGCAGTATTTCTTGAGAGCTGACTTTAATACTACTTCTATTCTCTGTGCTAGGCTGGACTCTCTGACTGGACTGCATATCCCATAATGTTTGATGGATATGGATTCTTGCAGTGTATTTCCCCTTTCATCCATTGGGGAGAAGTAAGTGTGGAGAGGAAACACCTCGTGGAATCACTCTTGAGAGCCCAGAACGTAAATAAAAGCATCCAAATTGCATGAGGTCCCATTTTCAAAAGATTTTATTCATCCCACTCTCTGTAAGATTCTATTTTTCCCCCATAATTTTATTGCAAAACCTGAGTAACTCAGTGTTCTGTCTTTTTCACTCCTTGATTCCTTAGAAATAACAAATTTTAAAAGAATTTGTTTTGTTGGCTTTGGGGTTTACTTTTCCTATTCTATTTGGTGTAAATCAAATGTGCAGTAGGACTCAGCAAAGTGACAAGAAGGAGAAAAAATATAACAAAAAAAAAAAAAAAAACCCTTGTTTCTGTGCTTTCTATCTCTGACTTTTTCTCAGGATACACATACTATGTGCTGCACTTTTTGTCTGGTAGTCCTTGAACAGAAAATACCCTTTCTTAAATTTCATGAGTAGCTTTCTGTGTAAAAAAAAAGAGCTATGGGATACATTAGAATATCTGATTCACCTGGGTTTTTTTCTGCTCCTTTATAGCAGCCTAAGGTGGAATTATATTTTTCCCATGCAGCAGAATCCCTGCTGCCATTTTTCAATTAAGTTCTAAAAATTGCATTTGTGCTTCTATTCAAAACTACTGTGTAGGATTCATGTTCTTATTATTGTGGTTTTAATGACGCTCTTTTTTTTGTAATATTTATATGACCACATTTCACAAGTTTAAAATATACAGGAAATGAGACCAGAACTTCACATCTGAAACAGAGACTTAGTGTAGTCACAGCTTTATTTGCCCTATAGTGTTCTTTAAACAAGCATTTGGCATCTTTTAACAGTGCCAAGGTTAACCCACATAAAACAATAGAACACAATTCTCCCATGAAATAATGTTTCTACTAAGCAACCTATTTTAAAATATTTAGCATTCTTTGATGCTCTGTTTATCTGACACATTATTCCTTTTTCTGACCAAGCTCAGAGAAATGTATTTTCTTCCTTTACTAAATGTGAAAATAAGGTTTATTCAGTTGGGAATTTTGATTCTGGGCTATTTTAATCTAATTCTTTTCCCCTTCTGTGAAATTATCCTGCTGTGGGGTAAAATTATTTATTGATGACATGCAATAATGGATGTATGTGTTACATGCTTATTTGGACAGAGGGAAATTTGTATCCCCAGGAGACTTGAAAGGTAGGTAGGATCCTTCAGTCCAAAATATTTTTCAAGTCTGTGTGAATGCAAAAAAAAAAAAAAACAAACCCAAAACCCCTTTCCTGATTGTGAATGAGAACTGAGTCTGAGGAACAGAAGACAGTGATCCAGAGCTCACCTTATGCCCTGGCTCAGGGAATTCCATGGGAATAAATCAGACTGTGTATGGCTTGTGGTGCTCCTGAGAGCTGCAGGCAGAGCCTGGCCTCTCTTTTAAAGCCTTGTGAAGCACAAAAAATATTATGAAATTGCCAGCCCTGAGATGCTGAGGAGTGAGAAGGAAGAAACGAACCTCCCTAGAGCAAGTAAATCCATGGAAGTTGCTCAAAGCACAGGAAGAGGCCCAGCTGGGGGATGCTGATTAGTTTTCTCCCTAGAACCTTTTCCTGATCTCCTTTATGCCTTCAAATGACTGTCCCATTCACCCTGCTCTGCTTGTCTCCAACCATCGTGAGAAGCCAGAGGAGATGTCTTTAGGTATTCCATTTAAATATATGTGTTCAGGAATGATAAGATGTAGAAAATAAACTGTGAATACTCAGAATTCAAGTCTAGGAAGTTAAATTTTATTCACTTCCTTTATTCTTCCTAATATTTCAAGAGCTTCTAGAAGAAAGAATAAATCCAGACTAGTCCCAAAATTGTGGCCACTAACTTTATGTTCTCCTTTTTAAGTGTTTCTAGGAACTCAACATTCTGATTTGAGAAACTGTCAGAGCACTTTTCATGTGCTAGATCAAAGCTTATTTTCCCTAAATTTCACAAAGTAATGTTTTGTGTGAGTACACTTGGTGTGGGCTATCCTGAGGGTGTTTGAAGTTCTCCTGGATTCCTTTCAGAAGGAATAAGGTTGAGTATCCTGCACTGCAGCGGGAGTGAGGTAGAAGTGGAGTAATAACAGCAGTAACAAAGTCTGAGTGGGCTGGTACTCCAAGAGGGAAAGAGCTGCTCTCACAAGGAAGTCAGACCTTAAACATTACAACTTCTTTGCTTTGGAAAAGGAATAGTGGTAACTAAGGCTTCCCTTTTTTTTTATGTTATTTTCTCCTTTCCACGGAAGGCATTTTTAAAAGCAATTTGATTCAACATTTGTAAATAGGTGAAGTACAGCTTGTTAAACAGCCAGCATTAATTTCCTGATATGTCTGGCTTAGAAATGAGACTTGAGCTCATTCTTAATGAGCTTATTAATGACATAGAGAACTTGAACTGCTTCATTATTGCTAATGAAGACCTGGCAGAGGGGTTAAATTTAGATCTAAAGTAAGCCTGTGGGAAGAAACTGGATGGGTTTCTTTAGTACATGTTGTAAGAGATCAAGAAATGTTTGATTTGTTTGGTTTTTTTTTTCCTTTAAATACCATTTTCCTCATATTTGATCTAGTTTGCTTCCATAAACTGTTCAAAACTGGGGAGATGGTTTTTGTGCTTTCACATAGTGTTCTTTTTGTCTCTGCTAATATGTTCACAGAGCTTTTCAGTAAAGGGAAAAGAATTTTAGACATATAAACCCCCAAATCCTACATTACTGTCCTATAAATAACTTGCCTTCTGACTTGTGCAACTCAGACTCGAGTGATAAATGCCATCAGCATACATTTCAGGACTAGTGTTTTTGTTGCCAGGAGTTGAGCATATTTTAAGTTGTGAATCTGGAGCAAGATATTAGAAGGAATGTTTTT